TGCATTTGAACACTTGAATCTAGACTTGAGGAATTCATGAGAAGGAATTTCTTTGCTCTTGGACCCAAATGATTCAGATTGGAAAATCAAAGCTTTACTCATGTTTCTAAAACGTGAAACTTTCAGGAAAAATAAAATAGACTTTTTTTCTGTAAGTGAACAATTGGTCAGGACTTTTTAAAAGTGATATCCTTAAATACTAACAGATAGTAACTTTCAAAAGAAGGTCTTAGTAGCAGATACTAAAATCTAATCATGTAAAATATTAATACAAAAATTCTCTATATGCTTCTTGTTTATGACTGTGGCAGTTCTGCTCACTACAATCCTCAATAATGAAATCCTTCCATGGTTAGAGAATACGAGGTGGCTTGGTCAAAACACAATTCTCTATTATTCTTGCCACATTTATAACCTATTACAATGGGCACCAAATATTTCTAATTTTATAACTAAGGCTTAGAGATGAATCAATATTGCCAGAGAAATTAGCTGATTTTAAATCTTTTACAGAAAAAGACTGAGATTATCTTTGTGATGATATTGCCAATATCTAAAATTCGAGTAACACACTTGTCGTACAGTGTTGAGAATCAAGCACAGAGGAACATTATGACAGCACCGTAGAGACTCTGAACACAATCACTAGTCATAAAAAACATGAATGAATAAAACCGTATTATATCTCGTGCCTATTACTTATTCCTTCAGGAGCCTGAATGTGGGTTAATGGGTATAAGAATTGCTGTAGGTTTCTGAGAGAAAAGCTGGGCAGAAGCCAGTGACGGAAGCATTCCTCCATCCTCTCTCCCTTACCCACGCTCACACAGTGTCTCAGTGGAAACAAACAGGTAACTCTCCTGGAACCAGCAGGGGCACTGTGAGTCCGTGGCATTTTGAATGCAGGGCACCACCTGCTCTTTGTTCACAGGGCCTAACTTGAACATCAGTGTATAACACCTCATGGATGGTTCAAGTGAACTGTAAAGCAAGGGTTTCAATCTACTTACACATATAGCAATGTTAAGAGCTGTTCAGTTTCCAGAATCCTTCATGAACATTTTGTGTTGTCTTTTCACACCGTTAGTTCAAGTTCTTTGAAACTTTCAAATTATTACCAGCACTGCTACATGAAATCTAAGCCTGAGATGGCCTGTGTTTGTTCAGAGGTTGAAGACATATGGCTTTATGAACCTGACAAGCTTCCCCACCACCACCACTCTCAAAAAGGCTGAGAAAAGCCTGGCGCACCTGGGACCCTAAGGATGGATGCTGAGGGATGTAACCAAAACAACAACAAAAATCCAAGGTGTGTATTCCATTCCTTGGTATCGCTGAACTGGGCCTGGACTTTTTCTAATCTTAGTAGAGATGGTGATAATAGTAGCATGCGGATTGTATTATTGAAATCAACAGCAGTCTGAAAGAAACAACTATGCTTTACATCCTAAGTTTTTGACGATACTTTTAACTTACATTATTCTACAATATCCTCACAGCAATCAACTTCTGAGGGACCTGGAAAAATAGTACATGAGCCTCCTTTTAGAAAAGGGGAAACTAAGTCTCAGATACATAAAGAAATTAACCTAAAGCTATAGGG